AGTCACAACATAAATTGAAGCATTATTATGCGCCTAATAGTTACCCATCAAATTCCAAAAATTTTTAAATTTAAAATCCCTATGTTATTAAATAAAAAAAAATTGTTCTGCACCCTGTTGGTAAACCTTTTTAATGCAATTGAACATCACAGAATCAAATTGTTTAGTTGATCCAGCTGTTAAGATTCTTTAATTACATTTAAATTGTACTCATACCATGGTAAACTCCATTGCCACTGGGGTGGAGCCCTTTTGACGGATCTGCACCAAACTTCACACAAACCATCCTTGAATAATGCTAGCCTATATCAAATTGTCCAGAATTTCTCGCTCTTTTCCATTGTAATAATTACACCAACCCAAGTTTCGTCTACAGATGCAATATGCCAAAGAATATCACCTACGTACAATCTCCAAGAAGTGGTAAAAAAGGCAGAAACCAGCCCATACAATAGATATAAGTTAACTCCATGATAAATAATTTTAAAAGTTATTGTGATATTAGGATTTTTCACTGATTTGGTAATAGAACATTATATTGCAAAACATGACACGATGCAGAAGAAAATCAATTTTAAAATCAGAAAAATCCATTGCAAATACTGTACTTCATTTTGACAAATTCAATAAATCACAATTTAAATATTAACAGCTGTTGCATTAAAATGTAGTGTAGGATTATGCATATGGTCGTAATGTAAACAAATCTGAAGAGGCAACTTTAAAGGCTTCTGGGGCAGAGCCCCAAGGGAATTTACCTCTTTCCTCTTTTGATGGCTCATCTACAGACCAAGACCTTTCTTTAGAGATCCCTACCAAGTTTCTACGCCCAGCTGTTCTCTCAAATTAGCTGTGACAAAAACCCCGTTTTCCTCCATAAGAATAACATGGGATGGGAATTTAAAGGCCGCGGGGGCAGAGCCCCAAGGGAATTCACGCCCAGCCGTTCTCTCAAAATAGCTGTGACAAAGAAAAACAGTTTCAAATTAATATACAGGGTTCATTTGAAAACTTTCCATATCTGTTGTGTGCAAAGGTAAGGCTTTTAACACTTGTTTGTTCTCATTTCCCCCTAATGTGGACATGCCAAACCCAATAAAATTATTTTCAATTTTGAAAAATGCCCCAAAAGGGCCCAATTTGGGGGGTAGGGGTGCTTTTTGAGAAATTTTCAAAAGTAAACATGGGTTGTGTGATACATCAATTTAAATGGTCTAATCACTCCGATCATTTTGATGCAAAAACAGTTTAATTATCTTTAACCGTATGTACAGGGTGGGTCAAAACGTTTTAAAAAAGGACTTTGAAGTTAAGTACCGTATTACCCTAACTACTGAACAAAATAGCGCCAAATTTCTTTCCAAGCTTATTCTTGAGCTACTCTTTAAGATAACTTGTAGTAAGGGCATTTTCCATGTTATTTTCTAATTTAAAAAAATCTTAAATTTTAAGAATAAAAGAAAGCTGAAAACTCAAAATTCTTAAATAGCAAGGTATAACAAATTTCATACCACGTGAAAGGTCCTTTTTTAACAAACATTTTACGTATTTAAGTTTTCTTTCTATCTCTTACCGTTTAAAAATTGCAGTAGAAAAACATAATTTTCTATGGTAAAATTGTACCTAGTTTTCTAATAAGGCCGGCCACACACAGAACCAGGCAAGGCAGGGCGCGACAGGGCATTTTGCCCCGGGGCGTCTTGTGCGACGGGAATTCCACGGGTGCTTATGGAGCTCCACACACAGGACCGGGCGAGGCAGGGCACGTCGAAAAGACGCCCCCGGGCGCCCTCAGGGCAAAATGCGAAGGTCTCCAAAATTATGCCCCGAGGCAAGTCGTTGCCGGGCAGAACTTTCTGCGCATGCGCGGTCATGTCATTTATTCCCTTTCCGGCAAATTTTGATAAGGATTATTTTACAACTAATACAATTTACATACAAGACTGTAACAGTCTATACGACCAAAGATTACACCCTTTGATAAGACTATGCAGTGGATGATATTACTACAGTGGTTGAATAACTAATAATTTATCTTGGTATTGATAACTGAGGAAAAAGAGGGCCAACGTTCATATCTTAAGGGTTTCAAAAATCACTCCTCTGGAGGTATGACTTTGAATTTTGTTTTCTATTCTGCTCCCAAGTATAAAGTCAAATTTAAAAGTTGGCTAAATCGGCTCAAGGATCAGAAATAAAAAAATCTTATATTAATTTTCAGGTTTATGGGGGCTAAACTTTTTACTTGACGTGCCCTGCCTCATTCTGTGTGTGACAGCAACAAGACAGGGCTTAAGTCAGGCGTCTCGTTGTGCCCTGTCGCGCCCCAACCCGCCTGGTTCTGTGTGTGGCCGGCCTAAAACAACCAAAATTCGTCTTTAGACACATTTAATGGTGCAATAACTGAAAGAAACAATTCATAATTATTTATAGGCATATAGGCAAACAAGTTATTACGTTTTACTTTATGAAAAACAAGTTTTATAGCTGATGAGAAAAACCCAAGCGTGGGCCGCTTTCTGTAGTACCATTGACTAGTCAATGGTAGTACTAATTTCAAAAGTAGGCTACCATTTCCTGTAGAACCTAATTAAATATGGTGTACACCAAAAAAATAGACTTTATTTTTACTTATTGGTCAGAACAAAAGTGTTCCAGGATAACTGCAAAGTGTTTAACAATAGATATCCAGGTAAGACCTTGAGTGATATGGCTGTTAATGATTTTGTTAGGAAGTTTTCTGAAACTGGCTCAGTTACCAATGAGAAAAGAACAGGATGAAGAGTCCTAGATGAATTCTGACACACGTAAAAGTAGTCGATCAATTTGTAATGAATCCTACTACATCGTTGAGCAAAGTGCAATGTGTTTTATTAGAAAACTAGTTACAATTTTACCATAGAAAATTATGTTTTTCTACTGCAATTTTTAAACGGTAAGAGATAGAAAGAAAACTTAAATACGTAAAATGTTTGTTAAAAAAGGACCTTTCACGTGGTATGAAATTTGTTATACCTTGCTATTTAAGAATTTTGAGCTTTCAGCTTTCTTTTATTCTTAAAATTTGAGATTTTTAAAAATTAGAAAATAACATGGAAAATGCCTTTACTACAAGTTATCTTAAAGAGTAGCTCGAGAATAAGCTTGGAAAGAAATTTGGCACTATTCCGTTAAGTAGTTAGGGTAAAACGGTACTTAACTTCAAAGTCCTTTTTTAAAAGGGTTTGACCCACCCTGTAAATACGGTTAAAGATAATTAAACTTTTTTTGCACCAAAATGATCGGAGTGATTAGACCTTTAAATTGATGTACAGTATCACACAACCCATGTTTACTTTTGAAAATTTCTCAAAAGCACACCTACCCCCCAAATTGGGGCATTTTTCAAAATTGAAAATAATTTTATTGGGTTTGGCATGTCCAAATTAGGGGGAAATGAGAACAAACAAGTGTTAAAAGCCTTTACCATTGCACACAACAGATATGGAAAGTTTTAAAATGAACACCATGTATAGATAAATAAGTAAATTACTGTTGTAGTTTGCTTGTTTATAAACATATCTTGATCAAGTTTGGAAAATGCATTTATTTCATACTAAACTACATACTGTATTAACATTTCATAGTAAACCATTTTTAACCCCTCCCTGTTGCAGCAAACCTAAGTACGTTTTAAACAAATGCTATTTAAATAGGGAACAATTTTGTGACATTTTTAAGGAGATATTTTAGTGTAAATCCAATCAAGCAAAATGGAAATTTTCTTAGTCTGCAGGTTAGCTGCGGCGGTGGTATTTATTGAAATATTTATAGCTTAGTATGAAGTAAACAAAATTTCCAAATTTCATTAAAATATGTCCATTGTCCAAAGACAAGCAAGCTACAACAGTTTATTTATCCTCCCTAAGAATAACATGGTAATTTAATTTTAAATCTACTTTTTTATTTTTCTGTTACAGTTAGGCATACAATAACACTTCAATATACTAAATTATTTGTTTTTTGAGCTCTACAAAATGGTTTGGAAAGCAATTGGAAAATGTTATGTCTTCCATAAAACCCCTCATAAACCCCTGTTCCCATTGTCCGATCGTGCTGGTTCAGAAACTCGGTCGAATAAATGTAGGTTTATACAAAATTTCATCAAAATAGGATAATTTTTGCTCAAGTTTTTGTGCTAACAGACACAAATACTGGGTGTTCAAAAAGTCCCGGATCGGCTTTGTAATTTTTTTAAATATTTAATATTGACCTACTAAACTTAGAACATGTCTCTCGGACACGAAATACTATTTTAACGCGTATTCAGTGACCCCCTACCACCTCAGGGGGGTCTAAGAAAATCTCAAAAGTAAGCATAGGTTGATATGCACATCAAATTAAAGGTTTTTGTTAGTAAAACACAATGCCGCAAACCCAAACTCAAATGGACAATGAGTAAAAAAAATGTCAGCTATTTAAATATGCATTAAATTTGCATTACTATTATACGCTACTTCCTCAGAGCCCAAAAGCTAGAAGTTGATAGAAAATCATAAACGTATGCATAGGTGGATATGCAAATCAAATTAAAGGTCTTTAGGAGCAGAATATAATGCCCCAAATTTTAGCTCAAAAGAACAACTAAGTATAAAATAGCAGCCTTTCAAAGAATCAAAATAGCAGATTCATGAAATCTTTGAAAAGCTGCCATTTTTGACTTGGTTGTCAGTTTGAGTCAAGTTTGCGACATCGTATTCTACTTGCAAAGACCTTTAATTTAATTTGCATATCAATCTCATCAATATATGAATTTGAACGGATGGTGTTATTGGCCTCTGGGGACCTCAAAATGAAAAAGTAAATCGGTCCAGAGTCCAGGTCTTACCATGAGACCTACGGTAATAGCTTATTCCCTATAGGAAATTCGCTAAAATGCTCAGTTTAATAAAGGGGTTGTGTATCCTTCCTACAACATATTATTACACAAATGAGGTAAATAATGTAATTTCTTGTTTCAGAAATGAAAGTGGTAGATTACACCAACAACAGATCCATCATAGCTGCACACCCCAAGATGACAGCCATCAACTCCTGTATAGAAGTGGACCTCACTGGTCAGGTTGTGTCTGACTCCATCGGAACTCGAATGTTCTCAGGTGTGTGCAATGAATGAAAACTAATCATCGACATAATAAACACTTCAGACTTAAGCACTATGAAGGGACTGAATTTATTGAGCCAGAGTGAGTTCCGCCCACCAATAAATAATTGGTACAAATTAAACTGTGCATTTATTTTCTTTCAAAAATATTCTAGAATAGTTACTCTGAAACATGAATGTCAATGTTTTGAACAACCTATATTTCTTATGTGATAATACTAACAATATATCTTTTAATCTTGCATTTGCCCATGGATTCATAGTTAAAGATGCTATTTCAGGATTTGGAGGTCAGCTGGACTTTATTAGAGGGGCTGCCGAAGGCTTTGATGGGAGGGGCAAACCGATTATTGCCATGCAGTCCATCAATCCAAAAACAAAAGAATCCAAAATCGTACCAACAATCAAAACAGGTGAGTTTTATCATAGACAAAAAGAATTAAATATAGACTGTCAGCTGTACAGTGGTTACCACGGTTACCATAGGTTCACCACTGGGAGCACCGTGTAGTTACGTAGCTCGTAGGCCGTAACTACATGGCGCTCCCAGCGGTGTGCGCCAGAACCTATGGTAACCGCAGCACAGCTGACGGTCTATATTTAATTCTTTTTGTTTAAGGTTTATGGAAATAGTATGAAAATAACACTGTATTGATGTTTTGTATGAATTTGGAGGATTTATTTATAAATTAAACTGCTTAACATGTGTTTAATTAATGTAACACAACTTGCTCTTCACATGGACTTTTTTCACATAATTCATAAATGTATTTGGTTGAATAAGGTTTTAAAATACTAAAATAGCAAGAAACGAATTGTAAACCAAACACGACTCTACAGTACACCGGACAGAACTAACAATAAAATTGGCTTCAGCTGTTCCATAAGGATGGGAAATCTACTAAGAAAGTGTGTTTTATCTATGATTGGGGTTGCCCTGGAGTTGGGATGGTTTCTATAGTTCTTATAGTATTTTTCTGTAATGAAAGGATTTTTTTATTTGGTGTTATTTGGTGCAGATTCCCGAAGCTATATGATACAAAATCTAGCCTTATGTGGCTTAAATTGAAGCTTTTGGGGAGAAAACGTCAGTGTAAAAATAAAAACTTGACTTTTACAAGTTTTTTGATTTATTATATTAGGAAATTATACTTTTATAAATAAACTTATTGATATGTGATTAGGAAGGAATAATTTTGCAGTTTGAAACAACTGATTCAAGCAAAATGAAATGCAAAGTAGTCTGTTTACCTAATATAGAATGATGCCTTCTAGCAGATCTAGAATAAATTGACTTGCCGACAATGTTAAATAGATCTGGGAGGGGGGAAAGTGAAATATGACAAATATCTAGGAAAGGATAGTTACAAATCAATTTATTCGAAAATTACAAAACAAAACTTATTACACAGTCTTTCATTTTAATCAATCAACAACACATGATATCAGCTGCTTTTGTCAGGACGTCAGGACACCGCTGCATTGAGACCGGGAGATAGAGAAGAAACTCAACCCAGAGAGTAATAAAAACCTTAAAAACTCAACTGGGGTAGCAAATTAGTGTGCAGTGTTTTAAGAGTCGATTTGCACAAAATTATTGCTCAAAATTACTGGACTTTTTTGTAGATAACTAAAATATTTCTGGGCGCATAGAATTTACGGAAATGAGGCTAAACCAGTACGATTCCCCGGAAATTTTGGAACCCCGGAAAATGGACGTAATAAGAACGAATTTCCCGGATTCCGGGGAATTCCCCGGACAGTTGCAACACTGGCTACTGGCGTCGACCAAGGCTGGGTGTTCGGCTCATTCTATGACGTAGAAGCGTGAGTGGAGGGGGCACTCTGGCCTGTAGTATAGTATAGTGTGGTCTTGGAATAGTCCTATGTCAATCCTTGGTATGGTAGCTATATTTTTGTAAAATTTAAGCCCAGACAGTTCAGTAGTTTTTACGTTAAATAGTAATACACATACAGAAAGACACCATTAGATTTTTATATCTATACTTATTTAATAGGTACGCAAGCACGTATTTTGTGACAATTACTCCTCCGAAACTACTGAACCGATTGACATGTTTTTGGTATCATTGGAAAGAGCGTAACGTGAAGTTGTGCAGGAAACATTCTTTTTAGGGAAATAATAATAGAGTGAGGCCTGGAGCCCTTTAAAGTTTCGTATTTCTCCATAAGATTAACATGGGAACCGAAATTGTTATTAAACTGCAGCTGTTGTCAGTAATTAAAAGTGAGAAGAAGAACATATGTTAATTGTTTATGTCTGTGTCTGATGGCATTGTGATGCTGAAACGGAGTTTAACTAACAGTTACAACATGTGAGATGGCTTGACGAAGGTAAAGCTTACTTTTTAGTTACAATTTCTACAATAGTCACCATGAAGCCCTGAATTAGCTGAACAGTTCGTGGGGTCTCATATCTTATAATGTCATAGCATATAATCGTGAATTTGTTCCATAACTTAATCTTAAAAATGTGGCATAGCTTATAATCAGTTATAAGCTATGCCACACTTTCACAAAAAATTATAAGCTATGCCACAATTTTGGGTTAGAAAACGCAAGTTAAACTAGTACCATTGACTATAAAAATAAAAATATACACATTATGTATATATTACATGCTTGTACCTTGTACCATCTGGCAACATTGCCTTTGATCTGACAACATGGCGGTAACTAGAGTTTTGTTGTTCGTTCTGTTAGTTGTCACGGTTGTCGTGTTGTCAACTGAACACAATTAGCTATGTCCACACTCGTGCGCTTTTGTATGCGCCAAGCGCATGCCTCTTAACACATGCCTTGATGCAGATGGACGCAAGAGTGACGCTTGCCTCAAGGCATGCACGAAATGAGTCGGAAGGGGCTCCTCCACAGCGCACAGCGTAGCGCAAGACAATCCACCAGCCTTGGATTTCTGTGCGTTTCAACTTGCAACTGCTTTACATTTTTGACAAGTCGTCCGTGTTGCAGTTTTTTGAAGCATATTGAATAACTAAGAAACCTCAGAATTCATAGAAGATTGTTGCTCTTATTTATGTTAGTGGGACATACGGAGTAATAAAAAAATTAAAATAAATTGAATAAATTAAGATTACATTAAGAGAATTAATAAATTAAAATAAAATTAGAAAATTTTGAGTACTATAGTACTCCTTCATCTATATAATCCGATATGGTTTCTTACGGTTTTGAACTTTTATTGACACTAAATTTGCCGCACCATCCCTCCTATCAGCCCCTCCTATATTGACGTCTTAATCGAATTAGGAAAAGGTATCTAGAAAGTGAGGATGGTGGCGCATGAGTGTGGACAGCTAAAAGGCATGCCTCAAGGCGCATGCGATATTGTTTGCGTTGATGCATGTGGAATTGAATATTGAATTGAAAGCTGAAAGGCACATTGAAATTGAAAGCGCAGGAGTGTGGACATAGCTAGTTGTCATTCCGTCATTGCTACTCGTTGTGAAATGCAAAGGCAAGCTATTTTGGATTATAAAACTATTACGAATATGAGATAATGAACGGGGGGCCACCAGTTGACCGACAAGATACTTGGTCGTTTTGCCACTAGACCGTCTTTTTTAATTAAATAGATAAATACTGAAAACCAGTACGTCGACAAGTTATTTCATCGTCAGTCCAGTTGACCGGCCTGTAAAACAAAATTATTATATACGAGAAACCAACTTATCGTCAATCGACTCCGCCGACATACCACTTGCTCGTTTTTTAGGTGGGGATGTGTTGAGCAGCAGTGCCAGCGGCGCGCGCAGCTGTGGAGGGCGCTGTAGGCGTACCAACTTCTGTATCTTGTAGCGGCGGTTTTTATTCCGACGATTTCCAGCTATCATAATGCAGCGGACTAGTGAGGTTTTTTATTACGTGTAATTGTTTGTTTCTTAATCGATATTTGTTTATATACAGTACAGTGAATATAAATATGCCTATATTAATTTACTTCAATTAAATACACGTTTTTTAGCTACTACATTTAAATTATTGAAGAATTACATGAAATCTAGAAAACTAGAGTACCGTTCAAATCATTTTCTGTATTTACTGGATTAGTGAGAGTGTCTTTGGCTATAAAAACATGGCTTCGCTTCTTTGAAAACAAAGTAACGAACTATCAAGAACACAATTTTGTTCGAGTTTTGTCAAATTTTCTTTCAATGTTTACTATTACATTTGATGAAATAACGATCAGCTGTTTGGATTAGTTCCCACTTCTAGCTGTCACTGATATGTTTACATTAAATACTGTTTATAAATACAGAACCGCAACCATTTCCGATCAAGTTTTGTAAGCACATCCAAACTAAGTGAGATTAAAAACGTTGTGCCTTACTTAATCGGTTTAATTAATCGCAAGTGCAACGATTGTACTTGAGTTTTGATAACCAAGGAAAAGACCGTGCATCAGTGTTGTATAGTCCTGGGAAACTTATATTTTTTTTAAATCGTCACCAATAGCTTACAAAAAGGTTTCCACTCATTGACTGCGTTTCAAGGACAGTTGTGTAAAATGCAAAGTAAAAAAACACAACTGCAGTGGGTGATCGTGGATGTTGCTGTGATCGTAAAAGAGGTTTAACTTACAGATGTAGTTAAACTCGCTTTTCCAATGTGTCACTTTTGGATTCTTCTTACCTCTTTGTGCTGCAATCGCTGGACCATACCGCAAATCTTGGCCCATAGCCCATCTCTTGGGTAGGCCCTACGTAGGCCGAATTATTCACAACCAAATTTCGACAACGATATCGGTACTTTTAGAATGCATAGCCTTCCTACTTAGGAAGTAAAACTACAAAAGTCCAAAACCCCAGATTTGTGCGTTTTTTGTCACATTTCCTCCGAATGTTTCCTTGATATACCGATCTACGTTAGGTTTAAAGATTACGTAATCTTTTAAATAAGAAACCTTTGGTTGGATAAAGGTGGTTTCTTCAAACTGTCATTAATATGTTAACATTAAAAGTTGCTTACAAATAATGCTATTAATGGGAAATAGCTTAGATTTTCGAAAACTTAAAAAAAACCAAGGGAGATTAATAACTTCGGTACTGATACGACATCAAGTGAAAGATTTTTTGAGCAAACCATCATGAAATTTAAAGCTTTACGTTGTTAACGTATCAATGTTTTGTCCCCTGTGTATTTATTTATTATTTGCCAACGGATTAACACCAATAATACAGTTTGATTAGAAGGGCAGTTTGAATTGGTCGTAAGTACTAATAGTTCTTTTCTTAACTGTAAACGTTGGTTTTTGGTGCTGGTACTTTTTCTTAGAACCTGTGGTAGCAGTAAGAATCATTTTTACGTACAAACACTTCCCTATTTACAACTTTGTTATCCTTATTGCTTTTTAAGTTTAATTGATGTCTTACTC